CCGCGACCTGTTCTCCCGCGAGGCACGCGGGCCTTCTTGGCCTGGAGGGCGGGCCCCTGGCGGCCGTCCCGAGACAAACCCGGCGCGGACCGGGGCGAGACGCAGCTCATGGAAAGCAAGCCCGGAGCCTGGAAAGGGAATGGCCCCATCAACGAAGCGTCGGGCCCCCGGGAGAGCGCCCGCCGTCGAGGCGGCAGGAGCCTGGAGGAGGAGGAGGAGGAGGAGGAGGAGGAGGAGGAGGAGGAGGAGGAGGAGGAGGAGGAGGAGGAGGAGGGAGGAGGAGGAGGAGGAGGAGGAGGAGGAGGAGGGGGGAGGGGGGAGGAGGGGGGGAGGAGAGAGGAGGGGGAGGAGGAGGAGGAGGAGGAGGAGGAGGAGGAGGAGGAGGAGGAGGAGGAGGAGGAAGGAGGAGGAGGGGGAGGAGGAGGAGGAGGTGTTCTTCTGCTCACCGCCAGCCTGTACTGGACCTCCAACCTCAGGGGGCGTCCGCTGGCCGCCTGGCACAGGTCCTGGCCGGGCAGGTCCTCGGCCGAGGATGGGCCTGGCCAGGATCGGCGAGGTGGGCGCACAGGAGCAAAACAAAAGTACCAACATCCTCCTCCTCCTCCTCCTCCTCATCCTATTCCTCCTCCTCCTCCTCCAACATGTGTCTGCCAGCGTGAACCCCACACAATGTGTCATTGCACCCTGGATGCGCTAATCAGTGGTGCGATCCCTGCCAATACTAAAGTCGCCAAGTCGAATGCTCGCACAGACATCCCGCCCGCCCACCCGCAGCCTGGTGGCCAGATTCAGCTGGGCGACGACAACGGCGACGACGATGACGATAATGATGCTCATCACGACGGTGGGGACGATGCAGACGACGACGAGGAACAGTATGGTGCAAATGACGGTGGCATTGGTGACGCTGGCGATGATGATGCTGATGATTGCTGCTGACGATCGTGCTGATGAGGATGATGAGGAAGGGCGCGCGTAGACAAACTACGAGGGCGACATCAACAATGACAATGACGACGACGCTGGTGATGGTGACGGCGATGCTGGTGATGATGCTGATGATGATGATGATCATGATGGTGGTGATGATGCTGATGATGATGACGACGATGGCGATGGCAATGGAAAAGCTGACGGTGACAAAGATGGTGCTGATGATGCTAAAGCAATGCAGGCACGCAAACATCCCGAACTCCTGCCACCAACAACCATGTGGTTTTCATATGTGTGTAGGCATCTGTGTTGAACCGTTTACATACGTTGTTTGACTGGTTTTCTACGTGAGCGCAAGGAGCCGCGCGTGTATGGCCCACATGCTTGTATTTATCGAGTTGGCGGGCGCGCGATTACTGTTGAACGCTCTCGGCATGCGCGCGCATGCGGCCTGCATGTTGTCAATGGCATCCTAACCATTTGAACATTTGTGCGTGCAAAAAAATGTTAACATATTAAAGGCGTGTTGCTGTTTTGATGTGGCAGATGTGTCTTGCAACTATGAAGCAACCATTATTTTAAAGTGCGATTTTGAAATGCGCATGGGGTGGCGCGCTCAAATGCCCCGCACACTTCTCATCGCAAGGGGCTCTTAGAGAAAGTATATGCTAAATCAACACATGTGTGCAACATGCCTAAACTAACTTCGTATGCTGGGGGGTGGGTGGAGCGGTCAATCCGGGCGTTTGCGGGGGTATGTTCGAACTCTCTGTGAAGACAGCGTATTTACATGCATATGTGATTTGTAAGCTACGCTGTGCAATCTGTGTGGCGCAACCTATATCATGCCATCTACATTGCTGAACTTGAAGGTGTCCCTTCCGCTGCTCGCGTAGTCATCCCACCCTTTCATCCGTCCGCAACTTGCGTTGTACAACCCATGCGGCCGCGATTTCGGTGAGTACTTGGCAATAGCTGGTGCGTCTCTGCGGCCGCGCTAGCGCGCGCAAGCTCGCGCGAAGAACGGTCAGCTGGTTTGGCACAGCCGACGAGGCCACGAAAGCACTCACCGATGGGAACGCCCCAGTGTGTCTCAAAGGCCGCGCTGGCGCGCGGGCACTTCAATGCGGGTCGGCGACTCGGGCGGGCGCGTTATCATGATGACGCCGGCAACGGCGGCAACGGCGACGATAGTAGCGACGGTTGTAGCAATGATGGCGATGACGACGGCAAGGTCAATGAGGGTGCCAATGCTGGTGACGACGATGACGATGATGATGTCCATGTGTCGGCGATGAGGTGGTTCGCTGATGATGACGATGCCAGCGGTGATGCGGCGGCGCTGATGAGGGCGATGGTGATGAAGTGCGCGTGCGGACATGTAAGAAACCTGGCAGACTTCCTGCTGTAACACATTTGGTTGCTCATACGTTTATGGAACAGGTTTACTTCAAATGCATTGGAAACCACAAGGTTGGGACGGATTTCGACACGCGCGCGTGACAGCGCGTGCGAGTAGCTCACATGGTATTTTGCAATTCGGATCTATGTGCTGAGCGCATGCTGGATCAACGCAGCACCACATGGCGATATCAGATGGTTTTCACAGGATTTCAGCAAATGCGCGCGGGCTGGCCACCTGCAAGATTTGCAATGGAAGCCAGGACGGCGTTATACGCGTCTATGTTGGAAAGCGTGTAGAACTAATTTGTGTTGGCATGATTTTGACAAATGCGCGCGCGCGTGTGAACATTGTGCAATTTGTTGGGTGACATATTCGTCAAACCGAATACGATTGAGATTACCAAGTGTGCGCGCATTACACTATATCGCATACGTGAGGGGATGTCGATACAAATTAGGCTGGATTTTATGAGTTCATGTGGGAAATGAACGATGGGGCTGGACTTTGCGTAAAATTGCCACGTCCATGGGCGTCCCGCGAAAACCCGGAGGTGGGGGGGGGATGTGGTGGACTATATCTTCCTCTAGAAGTGAATGGATGGGCCGCAAGCAGCGTGGTGCAATCTAGGTGGCGCCAGATGTGGTGCTGTCTACCTGGCGTACGCACGCCATGTGGCATAATCTACGTGGTGCGATCTATACGGTGTAAGCTACGCGGTGCAGACCACCTTGCAGACTTAAGTCGTTGACCCAGGTTTTCGCACACTCATCCCATCCTCCCACCCGTAGCTTGTTTTGCACAACCCATGCAATCGCGATCGCGGTGGTAACTACATGGCGCTGGCTGGCGCAACTCTGCTGCTGCGCTGGCGCGCGCAAGCTCGCTCGCGGAACGGTCAATGGTTTGGCACAATCGGCGCGGGCGCGATGACGCTTACCGATGAAAAATTCCCAGCGTGTCTCAAGGGCCGCGCTGCGCGCGGGCACTTCAGTGCGGGTCAGCGACTCGGGCGGGCGCGGTATCATGTTGACGTCGACAACGGCGGCAACGATGATGATAGCAGCGATGGTGGTGGCGACGATGGCGATGACGACGGCAGGGCCAATGACAGCGCCGATGCTGGTGACGACGATGACGACGACGATGTCCATGTATCGGTGGTGACGGTGATTGTCTGATGGTGGCCGCAATGGTGGCGACTGGTGATGACGAGAACGGCGGTGATGCGGTGCCCCTGATGAGGATGATGGTGAGGAGGTGCGCGCGCAGATGCAAGAAATCTGGCAGACTTCGGTTGCAAAACATGTGGTTGCTCGTGTGTGAGCTCGAGTTTGAAATGCGTCGGCGCCACAGGTCGGAGAAGATTTCGACAGGCGCGCATGGCGACGCGTGCGAGTGGCTCGCATGGTATTAGTTGTTACCGATCTGTGCACTGAGCGCATGCTAGATCAACGCGGATGCACCGCGTGGTGAGATGTGAGGGTTTTAGGGGAGATTGCTGGAACCATATGGTCTTCACGCGATGTCAGCAAATGCGCGCGGTCAGAAGACAAGCTGCAAGATATTGGATGCATGCTGAAATGCTTGCAACAACGGTGTGTGTGTGTGTGTGTGTCATATGTCTTCGACCTGTGGGCGCGCGTGGATTTCGTGACATCTGCTGCACGGTGTTGTTGGAAACTGATCTGTTGAGATAAACGAGTCTGCGCGTGTTGTATTACTTCAGAGGGATGAGACGGGGCGATGCCTGGTCGCCTGGTGTGGTAATTTGCGATGTCGCAGGGGGGTCCGTTAACCCCGGGGGGGCGGGGGGGGAGCCAATCCTTTCCTTCAAAGGAGAATCCACAGCGAGCTCCACGCGAGCGCCCACAGGCGCCCATCGGGCGAATCTCGGCGGACCCAGCCGGCGCACGCCGCGCCCATCAAGCGAAACCTCGGCGGACCCAGGCTGCGCACGGGGCGCCCACGAGACGCCCACGGGGCGCCCACGAGGCGAAACCTCGGCGGACCCTGGCCAGCGCACCCGCGGCGCCCGCGAGACGCCCACCCGGCCAGCGCACGAACGGGGGGCCGCCCACGGGCGCCCACCAGGTCGAACCTCGGCGGACCCCGCGGGCGCACGGGGCGCCCACGAGACGCCCACCAGGTTTGGGTCGGGCATGCCCTCCTACAGCCGGATTCTGGGCGGCAAATGGAAGATAGCCAAGCATAGACCAAACATAACCAAACATAGTAGCAACACAGCAACAAATCATCAAACAAAGGATTCAACCAATCAAACATTTTGAACCTTCCTCCCGTAGAGGGACGTGCCCGACTCAACACCAGGTCAACCCTCGACGGACCAGCCAGCGCACGCGGCGCCTACGGCCGCCCACTGGGCGAGACCCCAGCGGACCCGTCTGCTTGCCCGCGCAGGGGAGAGCCCACCATGAAGCGCAAGCACCGCTTGGGGACGCCCGAAGTGGGCACGGAAAGAATGGGTACACTGCCCAGCAGCAAATCTTGTCCCAAACCAACAGCGGCCGCTGTTGGGCAGACGGCTTTTTGTTTAAAATGGTTGTAGGCCGCGGTGACATTGACAGTGAGTCCTGTTCAAAATGAATAGGAACTGCTGTTGGGCATTGTACCCATTCTTTCCGTACCCATGTCGGTCGTGCCGAACCGTTTGGGGACTTGTCGGTGGCCCGCACGGATCCCTCGGGCCAGCGCCAGGACGCCCTCCTGGCGCACGAAGGGGGTGCCGCCAGAGGTGCGATCGGAGCTGCCGCCAGGGACTCCCGGCGCCGATCCAACACATCCGCGCACGGATCCGCTGGAAGCTTCTGTTGGTGCGTTCGTTTTGCTCTCCGAGGTCAGCGGACGTCCCCGGAAAACCCGCTCATGAGCGCGTTGGAGCCGATGACGAGGCCGAAGAACAACTCGAACGAGGAGCCCATGGACTCCTTGTGGTCCGAGAAGACGCCCTCGGCCCGCTTCCCGCGGGGCTCTGACGCGCCTGACCTGCGGGGGGGGCGACGGAAGAGGTGGAGGCCTGACAGGAGGACGACGACGATACGGTGTCTTTGGCCCGCGGGGCTCCAGCTACGAATGAAAGCTGCAGCTCAGATGGACTGAGCTAGACGGATGCGAGGGCAGGCGGCACGGCAGCGAACGAGACGCCTACTCGCAAGGGTGCGCCAAGCAGTTAGTCCGATCCCGACCCCGTCTCAGCCCCCCCCCACCCCGTTCCTCACGATACGGGCGTGATGGGGCCGCCTTTTCGCGTCCAAGGGCAGTCGCCACCTCGTGGAGCGATGCGCAGTACGAACCAGCGCAGCAGCCGCCGAATCTACTCGAAGGTCGTTCTCTGAGGTGGGAGGTGGCGCGAAGACAGGCAGGCAGGGCGCGGATTCAGAGCCTCCATCTCTTTCGCATTTGAGAGGAGAACCAACACGAATAAAAGAAACGCACTGGGCACAAACGAATCCAGTACTGCCATCCGGCCAGGAGAGCGCAACTATGCAGTGACCAGGGTCTGCCATTTTTTCCGAACAATCTCCCTGGGCTCGCGGGAGGAAGAGGAGGGGGAGGACGGGATCGGGGGGAAGGGTGGGGGAGAGGGGATACGGGGACGAGGAGCGGGCGCATGAGGAGAAGAGGGAGGAGGAGGAGGAGGAGGAGGAGGTGGAGGAGGAGAAGGAGGACGAGGAAGAGGAGGAGGAGGAGGAGGAGGAGGAGGACGAGGAAGAGGAGGAGGAGGAGGACCAGTAAGGATAATCCGACTCTGCCTCGCCCTGCCCATCACAGAGCGATGGCAGGCGGCCGCACATTCGCACGAGGGAGGCCCCGCCTCTACCCCCTGCTCCCGCTGCTGCTGCTGCTGCTGCTGCTGCCTTCCATTGCGCTACACTGCTGGCGGGCTGCCCTCTGGAGGCGCTCTATGGACTCAAGGGGACCCAAAACAATGCTCTTCCCCTTCTCAGTCCGTGGATGCTGCCCCGTCAACATCCGGCTCCAGCGGTGCTGCTGGAAATCCGACGAGAAACCTCCATGGCAACTCCTAGCCAAGCAACGCAAATCTCTCGAAGTGTGGGCCCTGCACCTCGCACATCCGAGGTAGAAGGCCTCCTCATCAGCTAACAAAGGAAACGTTGAGAGCCTGTGCCCCCTAGGCTCTTGAACTAAACACGACAGTGGACTGCAGTGGCCTGGGCAGGCGAGCCTGCTCTTGAGAGCCTTGGTGCTGTCCTAGCGCACCCACGCCAGGCAACGGGCACACACCCACGTAGTCTGCTTCCAGAAGCAGGCGTGGGCTAGAAACTCCTGTCCCTCTCCCTCCTGGGGGGGAGAAATACCACGACCACGAGGCTCCGATGGAGGATCAGGAGGAGGAGAAGGAGGTTGTGGATATGGGGCGGCTGCCGAGAGAATGGCGGCCTCCCCCCTCGACAGGCTGCGCCACAATCTCTCGAGTGGCCTGCACACCTGGGCCTCCGGAGATGAGCTTGCTTAGGTCTGCGTAGCGCGACTTCCCGTCCAGCGCGACGTACGCGGGGCCATTGAGACTAAGGGCCCCCATGCAACCTAATCTGGGAGGATTTTTCTGTTAGGAGGAGGAGGAGGAAGAAGAGGAGGAGAAGGAGGAGGAGGAGGGGGAGGAGGAGGAGGAGGAGGAGGAGGAGGAGGAGGAGGAGGAGGAGGAAGGGGAATCAATGACGAATTCGCGGTCTCCGGGCCCCTTCAGAGCAGTATCGCACAATGCGATCCCATTCGGCTGCCGGGGACGTCTGCGGGAAGACGGCCCCCAACTGGTCCACAGAGAGCCGCGTAAGGCTCCCCGTTATCGAAGGGGCCCACAAACACACAAATAAATACACACAGATAAAAAGATTCCCCATATTTTCCTATATTTTCTGGGTTTCTGTCTTCCCCCCCACTTCCCATATTTTCCCATATTTTCTGGGAATCGCCGATTAATTGTGTCTGTGTGTCTCTTTCCCTCCTGAATTCAGCATGATGAAAATATTCGGCCTCTGACTTGAAGCACGATCCGTCTGTGAATAGTCTGCCTCGGAGGGCCTGCTCCACAGAGACGTCTGGATCGGCGCACCAACAATTTGCAGCTTCCGGTCCGGAGCCCTTCGGGGGGCACTGTTCAAAATTGGGCGCAAGTTGAGAACCCGCCGGGGAAGGATGGCGGTTCCCTACATACTGCTCGAGATCCTCACTTTGATCGGGTGTGAGCATCGAATCCCGGAGCGGCTGAGACAGTGGACATGTCATCACTGTCATCATGTCATCACTGTGATGCCCGCATGGGCAGAACGGCTGGGTGATAACATACTCGGCTTGAGCAAGCTTGGCTTTAGTCCACAACCCCTGGGTCTGGTATCCCAGGAGACATCCTCTCTCCCTAGCGCTCAGAGGGGAACGGTCCTTAGGCCCCCGCCCAGTGCTCAGCACGGGCAAAGCCACGCCTACATCAAGCACGTCTCCATTGAAGCCTAATTTCCTCGCCGATTCTTGCTGCTCTTTCTCTCCACGACCGCTGCAATAGGGAGGGGAGCAAAGAAGGGGAGGTGGAGGTAAGACAATGAGTGTCGCCCCATAGGGTCGCTGATGACAAAAGGGGTCTCGAATTCCCAACCGATCCCAGCTAATGACAGCATGGCAGCTGCAAAAGGGCCACGTGCTGAACACCGAGGGTTCCTCAACACCGCAGACGCCAAACCACAGAGCCTTGGAAGACCTCCCGAGAAGTGCGGGCTGGTGGGCGCACGCGCTGCCTTCCAGACAATGGTGGCCCACGTGAGGGCTGGGGCCAGCGCAGCCCTCCAGAGAGGGTCTTGGAGGAGGATGAGGGCGAGGGTGCGAGACCGAGTCCGAACTCTAGCCATGGCCAGTCTTAGAAACTCACCCTGCAGCCTGTTCAATTCGAGATTGTCCACTCCCGTGACTGTTTCAAAAGTGAGCGCTTGCTGAAATCCCGTGCGAAACAATTTGAAAGTGTCGGCGCCAGCCTGGCGCAAGCTGCCAATCCTACGACGCCGTTTCTTGAACCTATTGAGTCTAGCTTGCAGCGTGGGCCAGGTCTTGCCCCCCTGGGCTTTGCCAGCCCAGAGAAATCTACTCCTACATTGGCAGCCGCTGTGCACGCCGACCCACCCAGCGCCCCGAACTTTTTGGCCACCAACTTAAGTGTATAGGGTCTGCTTGCAACTATTGCGGCCTTGTGTAACTGTGTAATGCTATGCTACATTCCAACTCCTCCTCTATGAGATCTACAATCGCTTCCCCAGCTTTGGCGAGTTCCTTCGCGACGGTCTCGTCGTTGCCAGATACGTTGAGAAGACACACGTCGTCAATGAACATATTGAAATGCACGCTTTGGAATTTGGGCTAGAATTTGAACAACGGGGGCACGACGTACACTTGAACCAGGAAAGTGGCCAGCCCGCACCCCGCGGCGATCCCCGACGATGCGAAACCCGCCATGATCGTCACCCCCTGCATCGAGACACACCAGAACCCATTGTACTGGTTGATGCCTACGCTCAGGATCTGGCTGGGGAACTGCAACTCTTCAGCTCTCGAGGCCAGCTTGGATCTGCTCAGGTGCTCGTAGAAGTTACTGAGGTCCCACAGAACCGCTGCAGCCTTGAGAGGGTTTTCTTGCAATGAGGTTGCTTCACACATCAATGCCTGCTGAAATACCAATTCCAAAATGGACTGCCCCCTGTGCTACCCCATGAACATGCGTGTCTGCAGACTCTCCCACTGTGGGAGGACGGGCTGGCGAACGCGGGTCCAAAGCCTATGCCAACTTTTTCGTGAGGAGGAGGAAGAAGAGGAGGATGAGAAGGAGGAGGAACAGAAGGAGGAGGGGGGCAGGAGGAGGAGGAGGAGGAGGAGGAGGAGGAGGAGGAGGAGAAGGACGAGGAGGAGGATAGGGAGGAGGATTGGGAGGAGGAGAAGGGGGAGGAGAAGGACGAGGACGAGGAGGAGGAGGAGGAGGAGGAGGAGGAGGAGGAGGAGGAGAGGGAGGAGGAGAGGGAGGAGGAGGAGGAGGAGGAGGAAGAGGAGAAGGACGAGGAGGAGGAGTGAGTGACGACGGTCGCGAAGCGAGTTCGGTGACTGATGGGCCCCGACGGCTAGCCTCTGCTCTGCTGAGGGCCTTGCGCCATCTCCCAGCAGCTATGTTCAGCACGATTGGGATTCGCGGCCTCGAAGCATGGGCGCCCGAGACCTCTCAAACACTGGTTAGCGTAGCATCCGTACTGAACACGAAACCACAATTTAAGCCCCTTATGTAGTCGCATCCGATGACTGTTATGCACCTCCCCTCCAGCTACATGCAGTGATGTCCATTCTGGAAGTCAGAAAAAAGGCCCCATCTATATTATAGGGCTCAAAACAAGGACGTTCAGACCAAGCTGCACGAGCTGCAATGGTGGTGGAACTAAAGCATTTCAGACATCTACGACCACAATCAGCTAAAATGTGGGAAGTAGTGAAAACACGCACAACTGTGGGTGCAGGTGGGGACTGAGGCTGCTCAGATTTTTATCTGGGGGCACCTCCTTCCAGCTCCTTCTCGCATTCCAACGCATCAACAGTCGCCCGGAGAAGGCGGAGTCTTATCAGGAAGGCTCTGTGCTCCACATCGTTAGAAGCGTGCCTATCCTGCTCGGGGACGCGGGCACGATCGGCAGAAGCCCTGGATAAGATATCCGCCACCGTGTTGCCCTGCACCATCCACGGCGGCGCTGAGTGACGCGCCAATTCTGCTTCGTCCTGATGCGAGTTGATGAACAGTACTGCGAACTCTGCAGCATCCCTCCATCTGGAAATCTCTCCCAACTGCCACCAGAGATCTGCACCTGGACCTGACGGGGCTTCATCGCTTCCTGCCGCCCATCCATCTGCAACTCCGCTTTTGTCAATCACATATATAACGTTGCCCTGCGTGGACTGCGCCGTGAGGAGGAGTGCTCGTGGTTCTCCTCGGGGTACTGTTTGAC